GCCCTTCATACACCACTATGTTCTTGCAGGCTGGTGACCTTGTGCTCCATATCAATGGAGAGTCAACACAGGGCCTCACTCATGCCCAAGTGGTGGAGCGGATCCGCGCTGGAGGCCCCCGACTTTGCCTGGTACTCCGCCGGCCGCAAGAGAGGGATGCTAGTAGGACTGAGGAGATTGGAGGCCATCAGAAGAGAGGTGAGGTGCTGAGTTTCCCAGGAAGAGAGGCAGGAGTCATAGGGGAGGAGAGGCTCAGAGAGTAGAAAGGCTGGATCCTGGGTAGAAGGTGTTTGGTGTCTCAATGGGGACTGTAGAGATCCAGTGCCAGGGAGGGGTTATAGAATTCACAAAATCTAGCTAGGCGTTGGTGACATACACCTTTAATCCCAGCACTTGGGAGGTAGAGACAGGTGGATCTGCGTGAGTTCAACGCCAGTCTTGTCTATAGAGCTACTCAGAGAAACCCTGTTTCAAAATACAAACAAAAAAAGAATTCATAAAATCGGAGAGGGGGGAGCCCATCTCAGGATAGGAGCATCAGAGAGATTGCTTTTAAGGGTCTTAGGAGGAGGGTCGTGGATTAAAGCTTTTTTTTTTTTAAGAAGGAAAAGAAAAGTCTTAGGCAAATGGGACAAGGATACAGAGACAGGACTCTGATGTCTGAGATGCGGTTCAGTGGTGTGAGGCTTATCTAGCCATCTGAGAAGCCATGTGGATTCCATCTCCCAGATAGTCCCTTTCAGAAAGTAAGGAGTTTAGTTGTGAGAGACAAATAGAGGGGGCTGCTGGCAAGAAAGTTCAGCAGATAAAGGTGCTTGCCACCAAGCCTGATGACATGAGTACAATCCCTGGGACCCACATAGTGGGAGGAGAGACACGATCCACTCAAGTTGTCCTCTGATCTCCATATATCAGCTTCCTCCACCCCCAAATATTTAAGCACTGATTGATAAGTAAAAGGGCGGGGAACCAAGGGAGAGGGGATGAGAGGGAAGATTCAGAAATCTCACATAGGAAAGCGTCATGGTCCAAAGGTTTGACTTCCTTTGGGCAATGATTTCTGTGAGGCATGTCTTAGGTTGAAGGAGTATATCTGGAGGGGGTTATGTTGAGGTTTGTGAGGGAGTGGTGCCTCTAGGCATTGACGAGAACTTTCTCTGAGGCTTTTCTGGTCACCCTTAGCCAAGGCCCTGATTTCCATTCTCTACTACACCTCTTAATCTAACCTATCTACGGCTCTTTGCAGATTGCAGCCCAGATCCCAGGCGAAGCAGGATGAGGAAGTCTCACAGCACCATTTCCCCAGTTCATCAGCCGCCCAAGACCCGAACCAGTCTGAAATCTAGTTCGGATGCAGTGGCTGTTGGCCACGTGGTTCCCATAGTGGAGCAGCCTGCAGAAGACTTGAACGACCGTGTCCCTGGTGCTCCTGGTACCCCTGGGCCCTGGCTGGTGCCTAGCGAGGACCGGCTCTCTCAGGCTCTAGGGGTTCGGGGCGGGGGCGGGGGTGCACAGCTCGCTCAGGAGATGGCAGCCGGAAGGCGGAGGCACTGAGCACCAACAGATAGCTATGTGATCACTTGGTGAAGTCCCACCTGGTTTTAGAACACCTGAAGACCAGGCACTAGCTTTTTCCCTTAGAGCTTTAACCTGGTCTAGTACCCTCTCCTTGCGCACTGCTCAGTGAACTGGTCCCCACCCCTTCAAGATGCCAGTGGTACAGCCCTGCCAGAGCCCAGAGCGCTTGCACCCCCTCCACCCCCGCACGCCTCAGATTCTCCTAGTTCCTTCCCAGTCGGGAGGTAATAAAATAGCTGGATCCAGTCCTGACTTGCCAGGTGCTCTAGGCAGGGTGAGGCTTCCCAGTCCACCCTGGAAGGGGAGGGGTGGGTTGATCTGGTTTCGATGAAGGCCTTCTGAAAGCACGCAAAAGCTGTTTCTTTCCTGTCTCCAGATGGATCCTTATTTCTGCTTGCTCCCCAGTTTGCTTTGCTTTGCTAACCCCTGCACTTCTTCCTATTCATTCATTCATTTCACATTTGGAGTATGTCCGTTGTTGCTAGGGAATGCAGAAATGGGCCAGTTGTGGGCGTGCCCCAGTAGGCTCAGGGTTCCCGCATGGAATCCTTCAGACCCTCAGCTGACATCAAGATAGCAAATCTAGAAACCTGGCGCCTTCCTCCACCCAGAGTCTGCGGTCTCCTACTTCCGGCTTGAAAAACTAGCTTTAACTGGCACGTAGACTGCTACCCTAGGGGCGCGGGCTAGGGCCCTGGATCCCACTTAGGGACAGAGTAGGGAAGGTGTGAGTCAGCGCCTGGGGTTGGCCAGTCTAAAAAGGGCTTTTAGAAATCTTTGGGCCGCGCCTCCCTTTTCCTTAGAAGGTAGTGAACTGCGCTGGGCTGTGCTGGTCTGTGGAAAAGACTAGTTTCCTCTACCCTGGGAGTTGAGTCCTACTGTCAAAAGACTTAATGGACAGCCCGGGTAGCCACAAAGCAGGCTCTAGCCAATGCTACAAATGTCCAGTCACCTTTGCTGTTAACCACATCCTGAACACTCAGTCCCATCCCCCAAAGAGGGAAGTTGTGGTCCAAACAGGCAACTTTCGCTCCTATAAGGAGGATGCAGGGAGGGGAGAGAAATGACAGGACCAGAGTCTCAGGTGGCACTGGGGGGTGGGGGTGGGGCAGACTGCAAAACCAAACAGGGGCAGTCGGTAGCTAGGTTATAAAGAAGTGAACACTTGAAGTGTTCATGCTGTGAACATTGTATGTGTGTGGGTGTGTGGGTGACTTCCAGCTACTCATGACTCAGAGTACAGTGGGAGTATGGCTCCCCAGAAGTCAGGAAAGGGTTCTAGTATACAATTCCTAAACAGTCACACCCAGGGAACTAATACAGTAACCTCAGCCACATTTCCTTAGTTTAGCTTCATCCCTGCTACGGCTTTAGTGGGGGTATTTATTTTCCTCTAGTTACATACCTACTCAACAACTCTGCTAGATCATTTCACAAAGGGGGAAAATAGGGGCCAGAGCGTGCAAATAGATTAGAGGGGGAGAGTTCAAAGCAAGGTTAGTCAAAGCGTGGTTTTGAAGCCTTTCATCTTAATCCCACCCGTATTTGGAAAATACCAGCTGAACCAAAACTGTATCCTGCTCTAGAGAGTTCTATGATGATACCAGGGAACAAGACAAATCTCTATCATTGTGTGGCTAGAGTGAAAGCAGACTGATGTCAGACAAGAATGGCAAGAATTCATAAAAGGTAACTTTTAAGACAAGTGATAGTTACAAAGACTTTAAAAGGGGGCGATGGCTGGAGATTGTGTAATTCCTTCATGTGGGCAGCTGAGTGAGACAAGAGGATCACAAGCTCTAGGTCCTCTTGGGCTCCACAGAGAGACTACTTCAAACAACAAAGAAAAGGAAAGACAAAGAAAAGGAGGGGTTATATTGTGGCAGATGATGGTGGGCCTTGGGCCTCGACTGAAGACAACATTTGAAGTGGAACCTGAAAAACCAGAAGCCAAATAATGAAAAGCTTGGGGGAAGGGCATCTATAGTAATGGGAACAGTAAGAACAAAAGCCAGAGGCAGTTAAATTTGTCATGTTCTACAAGTTCAGGTATTTATCACTGCTTGAATGAACGCACTTAACACTCAGAAAAATGTTCCAACCTTGCCATTACTCAGCTAACTTCTTAAACAATGGCAATTACAAAAGGGAACCCTTTAATTTGAAAGGGCCTTATGTTTGGGGTAGGGGCAGGCAGGCCTTTAGGTTGAATTCAGGCTTTCAAATGATTTCGTTATACTTGAGTATAAAATCAATGTCCAGAACACACTGTAGAGTGGGAAGGGAGGTCCTGATTTCAGGTAACCAGGCTCATATGTCAGAATTAGACACTAAGATGGCCAGGAGAAATTAATTGCTCACGTACACAGTGCAAAACATCAACTTTCTTACCCCAAATCATCGTACTCCAAGAACCATCCCCTTACCTTGCCCAGTTCTCAGCAAAAATGTTTGTTTCCCCCATTCTTCACATAAGGTCTAGTATGCAGATTGAAGACTTCCCTGGATTTGGACAGCACAGTAAACCCAGACTCTAAGGAGATGATTATTAATCAACACTCTTTACTAGGGGACCACAAGGTCCTGCTCCCATGCAGTCTTTGTGGCACTATCTCCTATAAGGAAAGCCTCCCAAATTCTGGAAACTGGCTGCATCCTCCCCACACCAGTTAGGTATCAGATTACAGAACCAGACCTAACCTAATCAGGAAAAAATTTTAATCTTTCTTCATCTCACTTATTGTGAACATTTACACCATTTCTTGAGGTAATTAAGTTTTAATACCCCAGGTCCTGCCCAGAGCATTAGGTTATATACTATACTATCTATAAGTAGTGGTTCTCAACCTTTCTAATGTTGCGGCAACCCTTTAATACAGTTCCTCACGTTGTGCTGATCCCCACAACTGCAAAATTATTCTCGTTGCTATTTTCTAACTGTATTTGGCTACGGTTACGAATCTTAATGTACATTTTTGTGTTTTCTGATGGTCTGTGAAAGGGTCTTTAGACCCACAGGTTGAGAATCATTGCTAAAGGGAAAACCTAAAATTCAAAGCACTAAGAATTCAAGAAACATACCTGACCTCGAGAATTTTGGATTTAAACAGGCCATGACCATTTTTTTTTTCAGCTAAGGAAACTGAGGCACTCTATTGCTTCTTGGCCTTTTCGTTAAGATCAAATGTAGGAAGTCAGATTCGCTCGGTTCAGAGTGGAAGTAGTGCTTTTGCATTTTTTTTTTAAAGTTTAAGGTCTCTATATTCTTGCACCTGGTACCTGGGGCTGCCAGAAACCTCGAAGAAGATGAGAGTGTGTGCAGGACCAGCCCTGTCTTTGGCCGGAGGGCAAAGGGGGCTTCCGGGGCGGCAGCCACCTGGCCCGCCCCCTCCGGCCCCGCCCGCTTCAGCTAGGCGCGGTGATTCATTCCCTGCTTTGCCCGGGGGCCCCCTTCCCGACCAGACGGCGGGACAAACGGCTGCCTGTGCAGCGACCTCGAACTCGTGAGCCAGAAAACAGAGCTTCTGCGTCCAGTACAACACCATGGCGGACTCTGAGCGCCTCTCGGCCCCTGGCTGCTGGTTAGCCTGCACCAGCTTCTTGCGCACCAAAAAGGGACTTTTCCTGATTGCTGAGATCGTGAGTGTTCCGGGACTGGAGGGTGGGCGGGCTGGACTGCTCGATACTGGACTGTTCAGGTTGAGGCAGGCACGTGGCCAGGCTAGTTGGCAGTGGGGTGCAGGTGGGTGAGTTCGTGGAGGAGGATCGAAGCCAACGTGCAGGGGGTTCGGCATGGGCGAAGTAGTGGAGAGCTGATGGTGCACTGGTGAGGCGAAGAGCCTATAACTTACGTTGAGGGCTCAGCTTAGGGGCCGTAGACTCACAGTGGATGCAGAGAAGGGGTCCCGGAGAGAGTGGGAGCCTCTCTTGGCAGGGCGTGGCCGGCTGGCGGGCTGGCAACGCGCCTAAAGGCGGGTCCTGTTGGGGTGGGGTAGAACTAGTCCCCTAGGGTAGGTCGTTCCACCCTTAGCCAGCTCTCCCTTGCCAGTTTGGGACTGGATGGGAGGTCCTTAGCTCTTTGGATGGTTTTAGGGAACTTTGGTTTTCCATCCCCCTCAAAGTGGTCACTGCCTTTGGGTCACTTATAAAAGAGGTGCGGCGCCTTTAACGGAGCCCTGCCCTTCCAGTGTCAGTCTCACCCCTTCCCAAAGGGGTTGCCTGGGGAACCGCACGTCCCTCCCCTAAAGGCTGGGACTCTGGCGCCACCAGTGCTCACAAAACACCTGGCAGAGCCACTCCCCTCAGGGAAAGGGGAACTGAAGCACATAATTCTGCTCCTTTCTTACTGGGTGACCCTGGACAAGCCTTTTAACCTCTCTATGACTCAAATTTCTCATGTGTAAAATAGAATAGTACCGAGCTCATTAGATTGTTTTGATGATTAAGTGAAATAAAACATGTAAAATTCTTAGACAATGCTTGGAGAACAGTGAGCATGTGAGAGGTGTTTAGTAGTTATTGTGTGTCATTTTCCACACACCTTGAGAAAAGGAATTTTTCTCTTTCCTCCCCCACCTCTAACTCTCCCTGTTGAGTGGGCAGAACCTAGGGCCTCACACACATTAGGCAAATAAATGCTCGGTCTCAGAGCTACATCGACAGTCTTGGGAAGTGGATTTCATTTTCTTTTTCCCTCTGATGGCCACTTGAGTTTGAGGTCTCTCTTTCCTAATTTAAACCACTGTTCCTAAGCCACAGCTGATTGAGGTCTCCTGTCCCCATCTCAGATACTGTGCCTGGTGGTTTTAATTTGCTTCAGTGCTTCGACATCAGCATACTCCTCCCTGTCGGTGATCGAGATGATTTTTGCCGCTGTCTTATTTGTCTTCTACATGTGTGACCTGCACTCCAAGATATCATTCATCAACTGGCCATGGACTGTGAGAAAGGGGCCAGCATTGCAGAGGGTGGCCAGGAGGGTTGAGAAGTTGCAATGGTCTGGAGAAATCTAGGTACTGAACTGACCTTTTGTCTCCATCCACTTCACAGGACTTTTTCCGAGCCTTCATAGCAGCCATCCTCTACTTGATCACCTCCATTGTTGTCCTTGTAGATGGGAAAGGCGGCTTCAAAATCACCGCTGGGGTAAGGGCCCAAGAAGCAGATCCAAAGCACAGGAAGAAGGCTGTGAGGATTTAGGGGTTTCTGCAGGAGTATGTGAGCCACATCAAGCCAAAGTTGCTCTAGGGACTTGCAGCAAAGTCTGGCCCCAGCAATGATTTTATCTACCAAGATCATTTGCTGTAAAACACTGTCACCTGTCCGACGGGGAGACCTTTGTGACAAACACAAAAAGGCAGTCCCTTTGTCAACACATTAGGCTACTATCTGCTAGAACTTTGCCTCAAATGTAGTATGAAGCATGCTTCTACATATGAAGCAATGGGCGGTGCTGAGAGGTAACTGGGAAGATGGTGGGGTAGTAAGTATTCAGTCTTCTGGCCTTTTCCCCGATGTTCCCTGGTTTCCTAGCATAAGGCTGGAGTCATTATCCTCCATGGAGATGGATACAAGGACACAGAGGGCGAATAGATGGACCCTCTAATCCAGTCCCCTCACTCCTGTCTTCTCAGGTACTGGGTATATTTGCTACATTGCTCTTTGGCTGTGATGCGTACTTCACCTTCCCTCTAAAGCAACAAAGACATACAGCAGCCCCTACTGGTAAGAGAGAGTGTGGAGATGTTGGGGGGTGGGCGACAGCGTGCCTCTGTGTGTGTGTGTGTGTGTGTGTGTGTGTGTGTGTGTGTGTGTATACGTGTGCGCGCGCGCTTGCGCGTGTGGGCCCATGTGTGCTCTTCAGTGCATGCATGCTAAGATCAGAGAAAAGAAAAAGGGCCAGGTGTGGTAGTACACATCTTCAATCCCAGCACTCTGGAGGCAGAGTCAAGTGAATCTCTGTGAGTTCCAGGTCAGCCTGTTTTACATAGTTAGTTCCAGCACAGCTAGAGCTACATAGTGAGACCCTGTCTCTAAAAACTTGAAGGAGAAAAAAAAAAGGGGAAAAGTACCTCTTAGGGAAGGGTATGAATGCCAAATCTGACCTGTATCAATTCTTATGCCTTTTGTGCCAGTAAATATAAGTGTGTGAGCATTCCTGTCAGTCAAAATGGGCATGAGAATCTATCAGTGCTTTCTTCCTCTTGCAGACCCCACAGATGGCCCGTGATCCTCATCCATCTATCTCTGCTACCTGCAAATAGCTCCTCCATCAAAAACTTCCTCTTGCCGGGTGTGGTGGTGCATGCTTTTGATCCAAGCACTCAGGAGGCAGAGACATGTGGATCTCTGTGAGTTCGAGGCCAGCCAGGGCTACACAGTGAGACCTTGTTTCAAAAAAATACCTCTTCCTATTTCCACAACACTCCCAGCCAAATCTCTGACACCACTGAAAGTGCTTATGGTACAGGAGATTGAACCTAGAACCATCTACATATTAGGCAAACAGTCTCCACCCAGCTACATGTCCTGTAAAAGTGCCTTTGTTGGGAGAGTTTTGTCTTCCAGCCTGCCAATCAACCCTCCTAGGTGTGGCCACCTTTATGGGTGTGCCTAGGTCCCCCTTTGCTCCACAGTACCAGCAGCTGACATGAGTTGTGCTTGAACCATTCCCCCACATAAGCTACAAAATGAGTGACCCACTACAAATAACCTTTTTTCTGTGTGGGGTGAGCTGTGAAGGGCTAAATAAATAATAATAATAAAGATTGTTAAGATCTATAATGAACAAGTTAGTTTTTTGACCAAATGTACGTTAGCATCAGGAGATGGGAAACGGAGATAAAGCCATTGGAGCAAAGAAGCCAGGCCTGTTTTTTTTTTTTTTTTTGTTTGTTTTTTTTAAACAACAATTGAATTGTTTCACTAATACAAACAGAAGGTGGAACCGGGACCCTGACTTAGTTTAGGGGAATCATCTTTACACTGACTGGATAGTGGAGTTCCTGCTAAAGCTGCCTGCCTTCAAGCCACAATGCAGTTTTTGTCTCGCATTTGACGGGGCATCACTGGGTGAGACACCTGGACAAGTGGCGGGGCTGAGGAGTTAAAGGTTTCAGTTGCAGTGTCCTGAGTGGTCCTGGACCTGCACAGGTGAGGAGGCAGTGGGATACGTTCCCCTAGGAAGAAACCATCATCCTCAGAGGACTCTGAACTGGGGCTAGAGGGTGAGCTGGAACAGGATCCTGAATCTGAACCCGATCCCGTGTTACATCGATGGTGGCCGTGTCTGCCTGGACGGTGGTGGTGATGGCGGCTCCCGCGGGGTCGGTGTCTCCTTCGGCGGTGGCGGCAGCTGGGGGCCCTGGGTGGAGGACTTCGTGGCCTGCGGCGCTGGGCTGGAGGTGCACTCAGGGTTCGTCGTGGACCTCCCTCAGACACCAAAGGGTCTCGAAAACTGACTCGCGGGGTACTTTGGCGACCAAAGGCATTATCATTTGAGTGCAGGGCAGGATGTCCAGGAGTTTCTGTGGGTGGCTCAGGAGCACCGCGGAGCCCCAGCTCAGGCATAGAGTGACGGTGGGGGGCTCCTCTCAGAAAGCTGGAGGGCTCCTCGGGGCCTGCAGCTATAAAAAGAAAGAAGACTCCTGGTATCTGCCTGCTGTGTCTGGTGCTTACTTGAGGGAATATTCATGAATGCCTTCTTCCCTCTAGCAGGACTGGGAAGCAGAGCCTGTGTCAGAGATGGAATACCCCAAAGTTTGACTGTTAGTGCAGGCTTTAGATGGAGAGAAGGGTAGGAAGTAAATTAGCATGAGTAGGGAAGGTTTGGAGGGGGGGGTTGTGGTCCAGGAATGGGGTGATGGCCAGAAGGGCACATTTCAAAGGCTTGAGTAGATTTGGTTTGAGATAGAATGAATGAAGCCCGGCGTTGGTGACACATATCTTTAATCGTAGCACTCAAAAGGGAGGCGGAGGCAGGCAGATCTCTGAGTTCGAGACCAGTCTGGTCTACAAGAGCTAGTTCCAGGACAGCCTCCAAAGCAATACAGAGAAACCCTATTTCGAAAACAAAAACAAAAAGAGAGACAGAGAAACAGAATGAATGGGACTTGGAGAGATTGCTCAGCTGTTAAAGGCTAGGCTCACAACCAAAAATATAAGAGACAGAATGAATGGGAGTCTGGGTACAGTGGGTGGAGGATGACCAGTTGGAGGAAATGAGGGAAGTACTTGAGCTCAAGATGGGACCAGCTGAAGTGTCCTATGGGCTCTGTACAGGTGCAGGGCGGACCCAGGGTTCAGCAGATAGGTGGAGTTAGGGCTAGAGACTAGGCCTGAAATGGCATGGAGGAGAAGAGTCCCAGCTATTTGGGAGTCAGGATGCTTCAGGGAAAGACTGGGCAGCCCAGGAAAGGCAGGGCGGAATCAGGACTCACCAGGCTCTGCCTTGGTGCAGGTGCCTTTGCTGGCTGTCTCGGATGTCCCCTCCACAGCAGCTGGGAAAGAAGCCGTGGAAGCTGTGAGCGGTGCTGTGACTGTGCCACTCCAGCTCCGGCGGCCAGGCCCTGGGGCAGTGCTCTCAGCCCCGAGGCTGCAGGCTCGGGAACAGAAGATTAGGCCACGGCGTGGCAGGAAAGGGCGGCCCAGCAGAGCTCGACCACAGCGGCTACAGCAGAAACAGCGATCTGAAGCGTGCCAGTGTTGGCCCTCATAAGCCATCTGGCCCTGGTCCAGGCCTGTGGAGACCAACACGAGTAGGAAAACTGAGGCAGCACCCATTGGCTTTCCCTCTTAGGTGGGCTCTTAGGAAGAGGTGGGGGAGTTGAGGTTGGGTAGTCTGACTTTCCGCCCCACTCCCAGAAGAGGCCCTTTCCTTGGAGGAAGCAGATAACACGAGATTTGGCCCTCATCTTCCTTATCTCTTAGAGAGGGGCTGGCAATAATGGTGCCTTCTCATCTTTCCTAGGGTGTTCATTTAAAGAGCATGGATGGGCACTGAGCTCTAGTATGCGGGTATTAGGGGTGGCAGTCAGCTTCAGGTAGGAGGCAAATGGAAGGCTGGATCTGAAAAGATTTGGTGGGAAAGAAGGCAGTTTTAGAAGGTAGGGTGCCCTGGAATGTAGGATTTGCGGTAGGATGAAGGAGGACAGTGGAAAAGAATAGAGCATAGCTCTGAGCAGTAAAGGCTTCCCTTTTAGAGTGCTAAAATCGGGGTGCTTTGTAGGTGTATTTAGGTGTGTATGGGGGACTGATGGGTAGGTGGAGTTTAGAAGCATGCGTATGAGCTCAGTGGTAGAAAATCTGTTGAGCATGTTGGAAACCCCGGCCCTGAGTCCCATCTCCAGCAGCAAAGGAAGAGGGGAGGGTAGGAGGAAGGAGAAGGAGGAAGATAAGGGAGAGAGCAAAACTGAGTGGGGAGTGGAGCCATAGCCTAGCTGTTCATCACACCCCTCTGTCCTGTCTCATCACCTTTACCCACCGATGTGTTCCCCACAGCCATCACAGTACTCTGCATGGCGGGCCTCATAGCAGGCGCAGCAGTGGGGGCGGCTCTGTCGCATGACATAGCGCTGCCCTCCCAGTGAAGCTTCACACTCGAAACAGCAGAAGTGACCCATGTGCCAGTGCCGGCCCTCGGCCTCCGTACATTCAGGAGAGAAGATGATCTGCAGGGCATAGATCACCTGGGGCTGTCAGAAGAGCTTGCTTCTGCCTCTGTTCACCCTCCACTCCCACCTCTGGCCAGGGAGGAACAAACCTCATCGCATGCTTGGCAGCGAGGACGCAGGCATTCAGCATGGTGGCGCCCACAGTAGACCTTGCCAGCATGGTAGAAGTAGATGAGATCAACCAGCAGCTCCTGGCATGTGGTACACACAAAGCACTGAGGGTGCCAGCAGGCACCGAGGCCGGCTCGACTGGCAAATACCGCAATGTCCCCACCTCCGATCTGTTTTCCACACTGCCAAATGACAGACACCATCCCAGTCACCAAGATGGTCAGATGGATGGGGTCAGCCAAGCATGTGACAACTTGAACCTCTCCCATGGTGAACCTTTGTATATTTTTAATGACAAGGTCTCATGTAGCCCAGGATGGTTCCGAATTCAATACACAGCTGTGGCTGGCCTTGAACCCCTGGTTCTCCAGTAACTAGCACCACTTATGGGATACATTTGACATAGTTCTCACTCACAAAGAGGAGAGGGGACACATAAGGGACTGATTCTACTCATAGGAAAACCATAAAGACCAGCCTTAACTGTCGTGGGTGGCCTTACAGGCAACCCTTCCTTTAGGTGGCTGGGGAAAATCTTAAGCTGGATCCAGAAGAGGTTTTAAAGTGACAGTCTCCACCCACAGAGGTCTCAGGTTCCTACTCACCAGGAACAGCCTTGGAAACAAATTTCACCAATTGAGGAGGGCTCTATCCAAGGATTTAGGTTCTGCCACTGTACATCAATTTATTATTTGTTGTTGTTATTAATTTGTATCATTGGGGATCGGCTTGTAAGTCAGTTCTTTGTTTTGAGATGAGGGTCTTACTATGTGTCCTGGGCTGTCCTAGAACTCTGAACAATCCTTCTGACACAGCCTCCCAAGTGTTGAGATTACAAGCGTGAGCCACCATGCCCAGCTAGGTGGGTCAGATTTTAATAACAAGTTCTGATCACAAGAAGACCAGAGAGACAGCCCCTGCTCCATGCACTCTGCATGGAGAAGAGGAAACCACAGAAATATACATCAAGGCCTTCTTAGAGACAACTTGGACCCAACAGTGGTGTCTACGGGACAGGTCCTATTCATCAGAGGGCTCTAGAGGTACCCCACTGGGTTTTAAGTAGCAGGCCTCAGGGACTTCATTTGCTGAGGCCCTCTATAACTCACCTCCTCACAGATGGCCCCAGTAATGGTCACTGGGAAGATTCGAACAGTGCCACGTCCCAGATTCTCCCGCTTGCGCTGCTGGCTGAAGGCTCGCAACTCTTTCTTCTCCTCCTCTTCCAGGGCGGTGCAGTACTGTGCCTGGGGAGAGGAGGAATCTTCTAGACTTTATCCATGTTCATGGAGTTTACTTCTAGCATATACACACACACACACACACACACACACACACACACACACACATATATATATACATATATATATATATATATACATATACATATATATATATATATATATATATATATATATATATATGGTGCCACCTCTTGGAAATACCCCTTTTCTCTCAAGGCTTAGTTATGTTTGGTCAAGGAATGTCCCCTTCTTCCCCAGACCTTCCACTTCAGCTCAGCTCACTTTTCTTCGCTGACCCTGCCCACTTTTTCTCAGTCACCATGAATTTGCCCAAGCTGTACCCCACTCCTGGTATGCCCACCCTGTCTCCGCTCCTCACCTCACTGTCATGTGGGGGCAGCTGGTGCAGCAGCTGCTTTATCCTGTATTTCTCCCCAGGACTGTTGACATAGGGGACCTTGTCCTCTGGGAGGCAGCTGAAAAATTGGTAAACCTGGGGGGGGGGGACATGGAAGGGTGAGAGAAGAAGACAATTACAGTTAGGGGTGAGTCAGGATACAGTGTGGCCATAGGTCCCTAGTTCTATGGGAAAATTAAAATCACCTGAAGGCCACATCTGATGCCATCCTCTTTCCCAAAGCCCCGGAACTGTTGAAGTGAACCACAGAGCAAACCTACAAGCCCTGCTTCCTTCTTCCCCTTATAGCCAAACTTCTCAAAAGCATTCCCAGGCGTTCCACTTCCTCTGTTCCCATTGTTTCTTGAGCCCACTCCAGTCAGGCTTCTGGCCCTGCCCACCTGCAAAGCTGTTAAGGTCACTGGGGATGGCTGCGCTGTGAAAATCATTGTTCAGGTCTTAGTCC